CTCCCCCTACACCCTCTCTGTCTCTAGAGTGTATCATCCCTACACCCTCCCTGTCGCTACAGTGTATCATCCATGGATACACCCCTCCCCCTACACCCTCTCTGTCTCTACAGTGTATCATCCCTACACCCTCCCTGTCGCTACAGTGTATCATCCCTACACCCTCCCTGTCGCTACAGTGTATCATCCCTACACCCTTCTCTATACATACACTCTGGTATGTACACACTTGTCTTGAACTCGTGGAGAAATGAATTGCGCAACAAACACACACAGCTGATGGGTATCGAATGGATGGCACGTGCACTACTGTTTTGATTTAGGCCAAGTAAAGCATTGTTTCTTGTTGCGATTCACATTCAGAATCTGCTTCCAGTAAACCACACATACACACACACGCTCACGCACGCGCACACACACACACGTGCACGAGCACGCGCACAGGCATACGCGCACAGGCATACGCACACACACACACGTACACACGCATACGCACACACACACACACACGCAGACACACACACGTACACACACTCGGCAATCAGCAGAGCGTCCCCTTGCGCAATCATGCGTGTACGTGTCGCAAGATCTCTGTGTGAGATGGATGTCCGAACGCGTAGCCTAGCGGCTCCTCGTCCGGAACCGGTCGCGTAGCCACGGCCTTATTTTTATTGGTGGCCCGCCTCCGACAGTTTCAGGTGGCCCGACGCCGTTTCAGGTAGCCATTGGCAACCGGGCCACCGGCCACCGTTAAAGTCGAGAATACATAACAAACATACTTCAACGTTACACTGCCACAGAAGTAGAAGCAAGGAAGGAGAGTCTAGCATGGCTCACTCTGGCGTGAGTGCTTGGAGTGTTTGAAGCGACCACGTGAAAACTCTCTTTACACAACACTGTTCCTTTGTGTTGTAATCACTGACAACACTAGCTAGTACATGTACTATGACTTCAGTACGAAAGGGTCTCCAACCCTGTGAACTCCAAATGCGGAATGTTCCCGCGGTGATCAGTAACTAGTGGCGTATTCCGAAATTGATAGACAGGGGGGGGGGGGCGAAATGTACCTTGGCTGCCGCAGGAAGGCCCGCGTGCCGTAGATATGCCAGTGCTAGGGGGGTCTGGGGGGCCAGAAAATTTTGAAATATTTCAGCAATTTTCCTGCAATCTGAGGCATACTGTGGGCCATATTCTCAAGTCTGATAACACTATCTCAACCCTATAGACGCAACCCTACAACCCTTGTCTGATTAGCAGACAAACTACGCAACACCTTGCAGACAGCGCCTGTCTGACTAGGCTATTCCATTTACCGTAGACATGCCAGATACAAAATGCCTGAAAAAACCAATGTGTCCAAGCAAACAATGCGAACAATCAGTGCAACTGAAATGAGGAATATAACCTTGCCGCTGCAGAATGCGGAAATTAAGCCTAGAAATCATGATTCCGCAGAATGAGGAATAATTGGAGACCCTGATGTATATATTTTTGACACTACATGTACATGGTCAGATGTGTACGATGATATAACAAGAGGCGATGACAAACTGTTATTGAGAAAGAATGTATTGTCCGTCGAAGTGACGAACAAACTCACAGACAGGCGCATGCAGTAATATATATCATCCTGATATTGTTTTTTGTACAGATGGGACTTGGGGCTTTGTAATGTAAAATATTGTGACTTTGTCCGCTGGACAACCGTTTAACAAAACAACATTGAAAAAAATCAAAAAACCAACAAAGCGCAACGAATAATATTTATTATACATTATATATGCATGTGTACATGTCTGTGTGAGAAAGAGAGAGAGAGATGCTACCAGACCTAGTGCAGCCTTTGCAGTAGTAGCATGCGTAAATATTTGTTTCAGACTCTTTCCGCAAATATAAGTAGCAAGGTAACTTATGCTTTTAACCTTATATAGTATGTAAATAGGCCTACCTTTGATGAAATGCTGACTACAAAGTCGACTGTGTTCTTTTGGATTCCACAATTTATCGCTTCTCGCGCTGTCATTCTCTACATGTCGAATAGCCCAAATCTGCTTCTCTCGGCGTTCTCTGTCCGCAGATGGTATCCTGTAAAATTTAACATTGGACCCGCTCACTAATCTGTTTGCACACCCCGGGGGCACAACAAGAATATGGTATTATTATAATCTATTTGAGTGAACTGAAGCGTATTGTAAAATCTATTGTTAGAGTGTAGGTCACACGGCAGAAATGATATTTTGGCCTACGGTTTACAGCGCTTACGCACACCGATTCTTAGTCCGAACCTGGCAACCCACCGCGTTGTAAACAGGTCTATAGCCCTTCGCTCCGCCACAGGCCTGTGTCAGAGCGATGGCTATAGTTACAGAGCTAGGTAGGTACGCGACTGATTCAACGTGACGATACGGGTTAAAACGTTAGCACAGTAGCTTAATTATACCTTACGACATAACATATATAATATCGAAAACAGCTTCACACACTTCCCCTACGTGAACGTGACGTCAAACGCTTGCGCCGGGTGGGCTTGGTGGGCCGGTTTTGGTATAGATACAATAATGTAACCCAAACACAGGATAGGGTTACAACGCGAGACCATTTTTTTCTTTTGAGGAAACCCTGAGTGAATCACTCAGGGCGGTTTATGCCGGTTTATGGGCGCTACGCGCGTTGGGAATCTGTACGTCACAGGTCAACAAAATGGCGCTCGAAATATCGCCGCTCGTCACTTCGAAATTTTGTAACAGGTTATAATAATTTAATACAGAGTATGTAATACATAGTAAGTCCCAAGATAGCGGAGAAAGGTTCGTGTTTAGAATAAACCCAGTTTGGAAGTTCTAGTCTCTGAAAACGCACAAGCAAACTGCCCTGAGTGATTCACTCAGGGGGTTCCTCCAAAGAAAAGAATAGGCTCGCGTTGTAGCTCCATCCTGTGTTTGGGTTACATTATAGTATCTAGTTTCGGTAGTGTGACTTTCGGCACAAGGCCATAACATAAGACTAAGACTCGAGCTGTCCATATTTGTACATTTGCACATGTCGCACATTGCGAAAATGTCGTCAGCGCTTATATCCATGAACCCGACTTTCTAGTATCCTAGTGATACCGGCTAAAAGTAAAAGTAAAAGTAAA